GTTTAGTACTTGTACTTTTACTTGTACTTTTTACTCGTTACTTTTTAAAATAAGAACTTTTTACTTTTTACTCGTTACTTTTTTTAAAAATACTTGTACTTTTACTCGTTACTTTTTAAAAGTAACGTTGCCATATATGATAGCAAGGCACGGGACCGAACATTTCGTTCACTATATCCGGGAGTTCACTATAAACCATGTTCACTATAGCGGGTTTTGACTGTATTATGAAAGCAATTTAAATCAAAAGTTAGAAACCAAAAATAAGCGAAACGAAATTTTAAAGATATGTATGTTAGCAAAAACAGCACTTCATCAGGGGACACACTGGAGCCTTTCTGTAGTCAGTGGTTAAACCAAAAGCTGATTGTGCTGAGACCACATAAGGGAAAAACTAAATACTAATAAAATGCAATACCTCAAATATTGAAATAAAGATAAAAATCCAATATTTGAATTTTTGAGGTATTGCATTTTATAATTTAGTTTTTCCCTTATGGGGTCTCAGCACAATCAGCTTTTGGTTTAACCACTGACTACAAAAAGGCTCCAGTGTGTCCCCTGATGAAGTGCTGTTTTTGCTAACATACATATCTTTAAAATTTCGTTTCGCTTATTTTTGGTTTCTAACTTTTGATTTAAATTGTTTAAAATATTTTATTATTATAGGTAAATTAATAATTTTGAAACTTAGTTCCGTTTTGAATTATTAACATTGATTGCATCAATAAATTAAAGAACGTACATTTTAAGGCTAGAATGTGGTATAAAATGTACAGATAAAATCCTTTAATTTATTATTACTTCTGTCACTATTTCCTCTTATTCTCACTTTTAAGACAATTCCCCCGTTTTTTGAAAAAACATAAAAAATTGCCAAAACAAGAGGGGCACCCTATTGAATGCCCCTTTTTAAATTAAAATTAGTTTCAGCTTGATTTGACTTTTTTTTTAAGTAACAATAAATTAAATAATCAATTTTATGACTTGTCCTTACTAGCAACATATATGATGTGAAAAAAGACAACAGTTAAAAAAAAAAAAAAAAAAGAATATTAAAGAAGTGCCCAAATTAGCATGAATACAATGAAAAATGATGATAAATATTCGAATTTTCATTAATAAAAAAAATTCGTAGATTTGTTCGAAACGATGCTTAGAAAACTTTTTAATAGCTACTTCAAAGTTATTCATACTAGTGCCCTTCCAAACACTGTCATGCTTATGAAGCTTTGTTTTAAACAAGGGCTGGAACCACAATAATCAGAGATCAAACTTTTAAAACAAAATACTGCATTTATGGGCTGTATCAGATAGTTAAGTTAAAAGAGATAGATTATTTCATACCATAGATAAAATCTGGACAGAGTTTATTTAAGAGATCAAAAGTTGTCATATTATTGGGTAAGGGGACATCTTTCTCTAAAGGTAATGCTGGACCATTATAGACACAAGGAGTATTTCCAAACCTTCCTTCACACTGTCCACGCATAACACAATGGCCATCTTCTTTTTCGACACCCTAAATAAAAATTATTTTATTTATCAACAGTTAGAAAAATCAGTGATGATCAACAATCGTGAGTGTCACTCTTAGCAATGCAAGCAATTCTCAATTCAAGCACTGTTTACTTCACTATAACAATTTGAATGAAATGAAAATAATCAGTTTCAAGCACTTCATTAAAAAAAAAATCATTCATTTAAATGATAAAAGGAAAAAACATTGTTTTAGATACTTAATCAAAGTTTCTATCCCCGTGGCAGAATCGTAGCGACACGGCAACAATTGTCGCAGAACGTTAACCGAGTTCTTGCAGAAAGATTTTTCCTTCGAGAAGTAAAAAAAAAAATTTTTTTCTTTTCTGCAAAAATTTTCGAAAGATTTTATCTTTTCTTCGAAATTATATTCAAAAGATGCTATTCTCTCGCGCATCGGAGAATAAAAAAAAAAATGCTTGTAATTTTTCATTTCTCATTTGAGAATAATGAATAATAAGGTAAAAAATTTAGTTTCCTTTTCTGCAAAAATTTTCGTCCTGTTTTTTGATGCAGTTATTACTACTGATTTCCACATAGCTTTTAAAATCCGATATTTTTAATACGATATTATTCATTACAACAACTGAACCTCGAAATGAAAACACGCATTTAATAAACCCTTTTTGAAGAGTCCAATTCGCGTGATTTTGCCGACCATCTTTTCTTTTTCTTTTTTTTCCGTTAGTACTACTACAAATTTCACGATTTTTTTTTTTTTTTTCATGTGATGATGAATTACAAAATGCGAAAAAGGAAATAATTAGTGTGTTATCTTCCTACGAAATGCGAGAATATAGCCCGTAATATTAGAATATAAAAAATATTACATATTCAATTTAAAAAACTATTTTATTTGATCAGATTCTTTTTTATTTATTCTTTAAGTTAACTCTTCTGTTACTTTGAATGAGTTACATGTATATCTGTTATTATTAAGTATCTTGCAGGAAGATATCAGTATTAGAGAAATATGTCGCAAAAAGCCCGGAAAAATTCTGCCGTAGAAGTTTCTACGATAAAATAATGTCCTATAATCCCAATCAATGATTTAAAAAAAAATTTAATAAAAAAAATTTAAAAAAAAAAAAACGATTTTCTTACTTTAACTATTAATGCCTAACCACAAAAAGTATATTACAATAAAAATACTGAAAAAAGTCATAATAGTGGAAATTTCTTTCTGCTGCCTACTAATTTAAGCTTAAAAAAAGCTCAGTATTTTTCCATACATAAATACTCATATTATTAATATATAGGATGGCAGAAAGAACTATCTTCTTTCTGAGTGATTTCCTTCAAATAACTTTTGACTAAAAAAATTAGGAAAAATTGATCTTAATGTTTATAATTTTTACTTTAAGGTCCATACATTTAAGTGTACAAATTAACAACCCGCAATGAAAAACTTCAAAAATAAAAATTTAGTAACAATTATGAATTTTTATAGCAGGGAAAAATGTAATTACTGTCCCCTCACTTATACACTTTAAAAGCAAGTGAAGAAAATATTCAATTTTTTTCTGTGAATCAAGAATTAATAAGTAAATATGGGAAAACATTTTAAATAATATTTAATTTAGGGGTGCACAACCTTTTTCAGTGAAGGGCCACATGCACAGTAGATTGACCAATGAAGGGCCGCATGCCTAAGTGTTTAGACCGACATATTGAAAGCAATTGTTGGTGGTGATTGTTATATAAACATCATTGTTTATATAACACTAAATTCTTTTTGTCGGTTAACCTTGTAATCTCTTTGCAGAAAATACAATACTTTAAAACGTTTAAAATTAGAAAATGCAAAACTGATTACTTAAGAAGGAAAACAGAATTCGAAAATCAGAATCAATTTATCAGAAAAAATTTAGATAAATTGAAATAATTTAAAAACTATGGAAAAATTGAAATTTTTTTTATCACATTACAAAATACAAAAGTCCATTTAAACATAGATTTTAACGTTAAATTTTTTCTTCATAGAATTAAATTTCAAATAAATAAATATTCTAGTTATTAATATAAATTCAAGTTAAATACTTTGATTTAAAGAAAGTTTATAGGGTTAAAAATGATTAAAACAAAACCCCTTAAGTGGAAAATAAGATTTAGCATTTATTAGGGAATGTACTTTAACTTTCAGACATTTTTATTTTAAATTAATAATAAGAGGCTGAGAGAGGGAAGAAAAAGAAAGAAAGAAAACACATTAAATTTTAAGGAACTATATTCCTTAATAATAAAAAACTATTAAGATACTTGTTTACAACTTTTTATGACGAATATATTTTTAACATGACACTTACTATTTACAATTAATACACAATCAATTAACAATCAATAAAATTTACATTACTTTACGAAACTTATCTTGATTAAATTTTTTATACAGTTAAAATTTAATGATATACAAATCATTTCCCAGCATATAATCATAAATGATATAAAATGCTCCAAGAAGGTAGAAAATGGTTTAAAAAATTTCTTAATGGTTATACTGTAATTTGCAAAATTTTTGAATATTGTGATAATTTTATCTACTTGATCATGTGATATTTTTTGAGCCATTAAATGAAAATGTAATGATTGTATTTAAAGACTACTCTGTAATTTTGAACAGGCCAAATTCATTCTGGAAAACAGTCTTTCGACAAAAGCTGTTGTTGTGGGTAGTATTAAACTTAGAGCAAATAACATAATCAGTTTTGGAATTTGTCCTAGATGGTGTTCTTCCTTTCTGGGTTTTTAAATCGCGGAAATACAAATAGCGATGTGTTATTTTTTAATTGCTTGAATACGAATTGCTATGTGTTATTTTTTAATTGCTTGAATACGAATTGCCATGTGTGATTTTTAAATTGCGTAAATAATAAACTCGATGCTTGTTTTTCAAATCGCGTGAATACGAATCGTGTGGCTTTTAAATTGCGAAAGGACTACTCACAACACTTGATTTTTAAAATGCATGAATATGAATCGCGATATATGGTTTTTAAAACGCGTGCATATGAATTGCGAGAAAAGTAGCAACGGATGATATTTTAAACGCCAGAACACGAATCGCGATATGTGATTTTAAATCCCGTAAATACGAAACGCGATGGATTATTTTTAAATCTCGTTAATGTTAATACGAAATGCGATGCGCAATTTTCAGATAGCGTAAATACAAATTACGATGTATGACTTTTAAATTACATGTGACAACAAAAAGAATAGGTTCGATGTGTGTTGTTAAACTTGCACGTGTTTATGGGACTAACGAATTATGCCGTGTTTTGATTTTTTTTTTTTGCAAAACGGACCGCGTTTAATATAAACACATCTCGGTTTTTTTTCCTGGGAAGGTGTTGATTTGGCTAAGATACGTAATTACTTTTTAAGTTACGAAAAAAAATTAAAGCTGAATCGAATTTCACGAGTTGTAATATTGTGTGAAAATATCAGGTATATTCTAAATCACAAATAAAAATGCAGCAATAACGGGAAAGAAGAAAAAACACTTTCGAAAAACCTCTTAAAAAATTCGTGTTAAAATCGGTACAACGCAAATGATAAAATCGGCACAAACAGAGCACGTAAAAAATAATTATTTTAATGCGCAATTCAAAACTCGCTTGCTGTCAAAGTATTAAAAATATCATAATCTTTTTAAATCACGGGGAAAACGTAATAACTACTAAAACAATAACCAAAATACTTTAATATTTTAGATGAAATTGGAGTAAATAAAGTCCATCAAAATTTTATGTAATTTAAATGCGAGATTTGAAATTAAAATGTCGCAATAGCGTATAAAAAATATCGGTACTTTCAAAACCTTGTAGAAATGTGTAGCAATAATTTCTAAAATAACGATTGAAAAATAATTTGATTTGCGATAAAATCGTTACAAATAAGCCATGTCAAAAAATGGTTATCTAAATGAGCGATTCTTTACTCGCGATTCGTAATAATATCGTGCTAAAATATCGAAGTTTTAAAAACCGGGCGGAAATGTGCAGCAATAACTGTTGAAGAAAGGATCTAAAGTCATTTAGATTTTCCATGAAGTTTGCACAAATAAAGCGTTTCATAACTTTCAAAAATCGCTATTTCAGAAACTACTTGAAAATGGGTAGCAATAACTACCGAAAAGTCATTGGAATCGGCACATACGAAAAGCGTCAAAAGTGGTAATTAAAATTCGTAAATCGTAATAATGATGTATTAAAAATATTGGGATTTTTAAAACTATGCTGAAATCCGTAGCGTTAACCATCGAAAAACTACATTGATTGAGATTGGGTGCGTCAAAAACTTAAAAGTGTAAATTTAAATTACCGAATTTTTTTTATTATTTTTCAAAAACAAATATTTAATTTTTATTTTTATTTTGTTCAGATTGCGGCCGCGGGCCGCACATCGAGGGTTGGCGGGCCGCAGGTTGAGCACCCCTAATTTAATTGAAAATTTAATTATATTTTTTAGAAAATAGATAATATCTAGAATTTTGGAGAAATATTAGGAATTTCTATTAAAGTTCTTACTTTTTCATTGCAAAAACATTTTTATCACTTATCATTTCATATTACCTTAAGTAAGATCACATTTTGTAAAGAAACACATGATAATTTAAAACCAAAACTCTTACTTGTATTTTTTAAATGTGCTTTTGTGTAGGGGAGCAATAATTATTATAAACTTGAAAAACACCACTTTTTATTTAATTTCAATATATCTATATTATATATAACTACACCATAAGCTTTATAATAATTTAAAAACAATACGGATACTAACAATATGTGTTTTGCATTTTAAAATAGATTTTTGTATATTTCATTTATATATTTCATGTGAACTGTTTTTGGTATAGAAATTAGTACTTTTTATTTGGGTAAAAGTTTTATTCTTGATCTTCTTTTTACTCCCTACATTTATACAATTAATCTAAAATTTAGAAATATCGACAAGTAATTAATACTTAAATTGCAAATTTCTATAATATTTAAAAATTCCTTTTTTTTTCTTTTTTTAATTACCCAAGCGGTTTGTTACTCTTTCAAACTCTTTTGACACTCTTTCAAACTCTCACAATTTTTTAAATAAAAACTGACAAAAAAAATCAAAATTACAAAATTCCGATATTAACGTTGTTAAAATTACAACTTTTAGTAATTCTGTAGAAATTCTAAATTATTCAATTCTTAATAAGAGTAAATAGGGAACACAAAATGGCCAAATAAACATTTGATTAAACATTTAAAAAATAAATAAAAATACAATAAAAACTATAAAAAAAATTTTGCTATTCAGCTTTCTTCTACAGATTCAGATGTTTTTATATTCTAAATTAAACTACATTTTGAACACAAAGCAGAAAGCATTTGAATTATCTAAACACTTGTATGTCGATTATTTTAACTTAATCTCAATACTATTAATATCACAACTTTGTTCTAAGTTTTAAATTTTTTTTTTGTTTTTATCTTTACTAACATTGTTCCTATATTCAAATAATAGTGCTCTTTATTATTAGAAACTAAACATTTAATAGCACAAAAAACTGAATCAAACATAGCAAAATTCTTCAAATAGTAAAGTAGTTATCGACTCTTAGGTAATTACAGTTCCCTTTAAATACATTTCAGATATGGCCAGGAATTACAAAATTATAGTTTCTGCAAATAAATGAAAACCTTTTTCATTTTCTTAATTAAGCTATCCCTATTTTTTAAAAATAAGTTGTTACACTTCATACATATTGAAAGAAAATTTCTTACAGGAAAATCAAGGGGCAGTGTAATTACATTCAATTAAATCATCAAGATTTTTTATGGTGAAATTATGCTTATTGATCCTAAAAGAATTAAACAGTAGAGAATTGTGTTCATTTTAACCTGGAAGTTATATTCTTTTTCAACGAGAGCCATCTATAGTATTTTATTGGCATTTTTAATTACTTGCGACAGTATTTACTTAAAAGTTGGGGACACATACAAAATTATGAGTAGAACAAATCAGTGACTGCGAAGTATCTCAAAAGTCGGGGAGTCTCCCTCTCTCCCTGTGCATATATATATATATATATATATACACAGGGAGGGAGAGAGACCCCCGACTTTTAAGTATATATATATATATATATACAGGGAGGGTGAGAGACCCCCCCCCCTGACTTTTGAGATACTTCCACGCTCACTGATTTCTTCTACTTATAATTTTGTATATGTCCCCAACTTTTAAGTAAATACTGTCCCATATATGAAAAAATGCCAATAAAATACTATAGATAGCTCTAGTTGAAAAAGAATATAACTTCCAGGTTAAAATGAACACAATTCTCTACTGTTTAATTCTTTTAGGATCAATAAGCATAATTTCACCTTAAAAAATCTTGATGATTTAATTGAATGTAATTACACTGCCCCTTGATTTTCTTCTAAGAAATTTTCTTTTGATTTGTATAAAGTGAAGTCTGAACTTTAAATTCATGATTCAAACTGTTCTAAAATTAAAAGAAAATTTATAAAATCTATAAATAATTTATCTCTCAATTACTTGTACATATTTTTTTTAAAGTTCTGTTTAATTGTTTTTCGTTTTTTATTCTGTTTGCTGTCAATTTTAACAATAAGAATTTTTCTCAGCGGTCAGCAACAGAGTCATATATTTATTCTGTGGGGGATGGGGTGAATAAAGGATGCTTTTGTAGGAGTTTTCACCAAGGAAATGTGTCCCTTCATTTATAAAATATGAGGGAGCTACAGCCCCCTCTGTCCCCCGGTTCCAGGAACAAATCATGTAAATTATTCTAAGAATATTAATTATACATATTCAAGCAGAAAGTCACACTATATTAGAATATTGTAATCTCTATTTCACTATTATAACATAGTAAATTACTTAAAAAGTTCAGAAGCTCTTGTTGGGGACACTGGATAATACAGACATTTTACCAATGTTTTATTTTTAAAAATATAATCTAAATACAAAATGCTTCTGATGCATATTTTTATTACTCCTTGTCAATGCTTTTAGCAAAACATACCATTAAATAATGAAAATAAATATTTTAATGAGAAATATTGCTTAAGGACACAAAAGTTATTGAGAGAATAATCCTTCTACAAAATAAATCTTAATACTAAAACACTTCAGCAATGGCTTTTTTTTATTTTAAAAAAGTAAGGCTTTTTCAAAAAAATAAATAAATATTGAATTAGATAGTGAGTAATGAGAACTTTCGAGTTAAAAAAAAAAAAAAACTTGATAATTTAATTATAATTTTTTCCCCCTTTAACTATTGTGGGAGGCTAAATACATCAGGGATGACAATTCTTTGGAAATATTTCAAAAAACTTACAATTTTTTAAAAAAGTCATATAAAATTAAGTAAGAATATACAGGCATCAAGTATAAAGGTACTTTTTCCTACATCAAAACATTTGCTGTCAAAATACATTTGTCTGAAAGAAATATTTTTCATCCCTTGTGAAATATAAAATAATGACTCTTTTTATAACTTGCATGTGATAATCCTATGAGTTTTGTAAGGAATTGTTTGGTTAATACAACTAATAAAACATAATTTTTCCTTTGTGCCTAATTAAGGTAATAATTAATCAACCAAGAAGGAATAAAAACTGATTTAATACTATGGGTGAATTTATAACTTAATTCTTTTTCAAAATGTCTCTGACAATATGAAAAGTAATATAAATTCTCAAAACAAGAAATAAATTAAAGTTTTCCAAAGAACAACTATGCCAAATTATCCATTAAGAAGCAACAATCATGCTAAAATATCTCCTAGGAGCAATTATATAAAATTGAAAAACAATTTAATTAAGGTTAGCAAATTAATGCAACAATAAGTAGGCAAAACTTATTCTACAGAAAAGAGCCTTTGGGTGTTATTGAGATAATAAAAGCAAAAATATACAAATCAAGAAAGTTAAGTGGAAAAAAATGTAATGGGATTACAGCAGTTATCTTAAATTAAATCTTTAATAAATTCGAAGCAATTCTATAGCCAGCATAATTTTTAATTTTCTTGTTTTAAGCTTATTTTATAGTTAAGTCATTTTTTTAATATTAATTTAAATAAAAACAATTATAATTATGGTAAAGCCGAAATAATGAAATTACATTACGTGAAAAAGTAACGTTTATATTACTACACATGAAAGTATTCCCTTTCTTTCATCCCTGGAGGGCATTAACTTTTTCGCAGAGGTAAAAGAAAAATAAAAGGAAGAAAAAGTGAAAGAAAGTGATTAACTTACGGAAGATCTTATGACGGGTAAAAGGAACACCAAAAATAGAAATTTTAGACAGTTATCCATGAGAAATGAATAAAACTTGTAAATAAAAGTCACAAATCCGATCACTAATCACATCATCATTCGTTTCTAACTTTCATAATCAAAATCAATAAAACGCAACAAGTATGTAAACAAATGTCCAATACCACTCCTCGTCAATTTTAACTTTCTCTGCGCATACTCATGCGCAATCTCTTCACCTCGTCTCATGACACGCTTTTTTTACACGCTCAGAATGACCTCTTAAATTTTTTTCTTCTTTTTTTCACGTTCACGCTCACTGATTACGCTAGCTTTTTTCTTTTACTAACCTTGTGGCAGCGGAATGATTCTTATTTTTCTTCTCGCTTTCAGTTAAATTACATAATGACACACAATAATAATATGATTATAGGACTGTTGCAGCTCAATTGAAGCGGTCGGATTTGTTTGATTGCTCCTAATTGATTAAAATACTGAGATTACCGCCTTTTTTCAACTTTAAGTTCATAAAAGACAGGCGTATTTCTGATAAAAAAAAAACACAATATTGTTATTCAATTTTAGCTGGTGTGATATTTTTTTCTGTAATGCCATAAATGACACAATATTCTTTAAACCCAAAAGCACAGTTTTTTGATTTTTTTATTTTTAATTTATTCATCTTTTGTTTAATTTATTCTTTTTATTTATTTTTTTTTCGTAAAAAAAATACTGATTATATAAAAATTGGAAGTACAGTTTAAAAATAAACTTGTCTATATTAAACTGAAAATTTGAGCAAATTCGTTTCTTGTTGAAAAACTGCTTTTTTTATTTTATTAATTTTTTATTGATTACAAGCGGGCTAAGTCCCCTGTTCGCTGCCGCTTACCAAGCCAGATAATTGCTTCGCAATAATTAGAGCCCCTAGTATAGTAGCCTTAGCAATAATTGTTGTTTCTTGACAAAAAACAGTTTTTCTACTAAAGGTAAAATTACTCTCTTAACCTGTATGAACTAAAAGGAATCTGTTTGCTTGTGCTTCCCCTTCCCCTCGTCTAAATATTATTATCTATTAGTAATAAATATATTTATATCTATGGGTGAACAGAAGTCATTTTTCTAGGCAATCATTTTTTAAAATAACATTTATATTGTAATAACATTTTATTGTTCAAACAAACTTGATGAGTTCACAACCTTAATTTAATATTTTCGCTTCCCAAACAGGCGGATATATTAAATACTGTTTTCTTGCATATTAACATTGTGCATGAAGCTGATCGTTAAGTTCTAAATCATTTAACAGATCTCTTTAACTGTAATTTATTACAGTATATTAATGCTATTGGCAGAAAAACAATAATTGTAAAACGGTTAATAAGATTAGACCACCTTTCTCAATAACTTTATCTTAAAATGAAAAATGTAGCACAGAATTACATTATAATAATAATAAAAAAAATTAAAAAAAAAAAAACAATTTTCTTAGTTTAAAACTCTTGAAAAGGGTAATAATTGCAGTACAGAAAAATAACTTTAAATTAGGGATACAAAAATACTTTTAGAAAAGGAATATTTGTATGACTTTTATTAATGTTATGCTAACGACAACCAAAACAATATGGAAATGAATGAGGAAAAACTGGATCCTACCACGTGATTTTCCGGCCAATAAAAATGCACGGACAACAATGGAAAACTGCGACACCATTATTAGATTTTTACATATACACTGGTTATCATAAATTAAGGAAAAATCACAAAAATAGCGATAACTCTTTCAAAAGTAAGCCAAACCGTGCAAAATTTGCATATGTTGTCCACTAAGAGTAGCTGAGTAAAATTGCAATATGCAAATTAGTGGCGCTGCACTCGGCTTACGTCATCTGCCTGGAGCATAAAAGTCCAAGTTTGAGAGAAAGCACACAAATTTTACTGTGATTGCGACATTGAAAATCTGAGATAGCCAATTCGTAATAATGACCTCTAGGCATCATTTGCCTGAAGAACTACGATGGAGAGCCATCGGGAGACTAGAGGCAGGGCAGAGTCAATCAGAAGTGGCCAGATGGCTAAATGTGAGTCCATCTGTGGTTCATAGACTTTGGAGGCAATTTCAAACCACAGATTCGGCATCTAGGAGGTTCAGTCAAGGACGGCCAACTGTTACGACCAGTGCCGATGACCGATATTTGACATTAAGTGCACGCAGGAATAGAACCGCTACTCCGACACATCTTAGATCCTCTCTTGCTGCAGCCACCGGAAGGTTGGTGTCAACGTCAACTGTGCGCAGAAGGCTCCACGAAGGTGGTCTGTATGCGAGACGACCAGCCATTTGCGTGCCGCTCACATCACGCCATAGGAGAGACCGTTTGCAGTGGGCCCGACAACATGTCCACTGGACGTCAGATCAATGGAGGCCTGTTCTCTTTACGGATGAGTCCAGGTTTAGTCTAGAAAGTGACAGTAGACGTTATTTGATATGGAGAGAACCTGGGACCCGTTATCATCCATCAAACATCCGTGAAAGAGATGCATACGGAAGAGGCAGTGTCTGTGTTTGGGGAGGCATATCCTTAGGAGGGCGCACATACCTCCATGTCTTTCCAAGGGGAACCGTGAATGCTCAGGTTTATCGAGACAACATCCTTGATGCTTATGTGCGCCCATATGCCGGGGCAATTGGTGATTGCTTCCTGTTACAGGACGATAATGCAAGACCACACAGAGCTCGCATTGTTGATGATTATCTTCAACAGGAAACAATTACTCGCATGGAGTGGCCAGCTCGATCCCCGGACTTGAATCCTATCGAGCACGTTTGGGATGCTCTAGGGAGGCGTGTATCTGCCATCAATCCGCCCCCTCAGACCCTTGCCACGCTTGCAACTGCTTTACAAGAGCAATGGCTCTCACTTCCTATTGAACTGATAGACCGCATAATTGAAAGCATCACACATCGCTGTTTGTGCTGTATTGCTTCTAGAGGCAATCATATTCCATATTAAAGGTACTTTTTCTATTGCAAACCGATACTTCCAATTTGTTTATTTTATACATGTGCTAATTTCTATACTACTATTAATGTCTGATAATTTCTTTTTATGTTGTTTAATACCTTACTATGTGTTGTATATTGTGGGTAAGTTTCATAAAATTCCATGTGTAATTTCTTGAGTTATCGCGATTTTTGTGAATTTTCCTTAATTTATGATAACCAGTGTAGTAAGACACTATTTATAAATTATCAATATACCACATTAGCTGTGCGGAACCAAATTTTATGAATAAAACTTTATGACCTTTTAACTTAGTAAACATTATAATAACAATTACCAATTATATACGTTAGTCGAATATAGTATATAGCAGGGCTCGAAATTAACGGTGATAAGGTACTTAAGTTCATCTCGAACCACCAAAATCACAATCAGTGATCCCACGGGCCAGCAGCTGATGTTATGGGGAATAATTTGCTGTTTTGACTTTTAATTTTGCGTTTTAATCTATATTTTCCCACCGAAAAAACATGTTTTATCATAATTTAAGCATTATACATTTTCTGCTTCGCAATTTCCATTTAAATTCACTTGGTAAACGTATTAAGAAAAATATCTAGAAACATATAAACAAACTGGAAATATTTTTTAGTTACTCGAAAACCATGGCGTACTGCTATTTGAGTCTCAGATAGTAGCCCGCATATGAGTGAAACTTCTGTATAATGTGCACACTTAACGCTATTTAGTCTGGAATGAATCAAACAACTTACATCTTTAAAATGGCTTTTTGGGTGAAAATTAAGATGCTTCATAGCTAGTTTAGGTTAGAGCTTTTTTAATCATCAGACTAACCATGGAAGATTTTCCTCTGAATAATGCGTTAAAAAGGACCCATAACAGCTCGTTTGCACATTGAATTTGTATTTTACGAGGTCGGTTCAAAATGATAAGAGAATTTAAGGCCAATTTATTTATAATTGGAGGTAAAAATATTCACTCTATTTCGAAAACAATACATTTATCAGCTTTAGAACTAAATGTAATTAATTAAAATATTACCCTGTCCTGACAGTAAGGATATCGTGTTTCAGCCTTAAAATCGAGATAATTAATTTTTTAAGTGTTAGTGACATTAAGAAAAAATTAGAAGTTTATGTTCTACATAGCTTTGTATCGGTCTTTGTGTTAAGTTGGAAATATAAAGTGAAAGAATTGAAATCTTTGTGAAAGAATATAGAATGTGTCATTTAAGAGGATTGATACTTGATGAACTTTATTTACTTGAAACAGAATGGAAAGAACAGTTATTAAAGTAAACAAATGCTACGTTTGTTCAACAACCAATCAGGATCGATTGAGATACCCACACTACGTCACTTGCAGGTGTCCTATTGTAAGTTATGCGGTCTTCCGTATATTTGAACAATTCATAAGGTCTTCTTTGTAAAGCCGTTTTTCAGCCACACTCATAAATATTTACTCAAATAATTTATGTAGATGCGTAGAGATGGTATAATGGTTAAGGCACTGAACAGTCATTGTGAAAAACTGGAGTTCGATCCGGAATGGCAACTTGAAGCCCACCGAGCTTCAGATCGGTGGGTACAAGCTGGTCTAGAAAGTAAAAGCGGCCCTTTCTGCCGAATGTTGCCGCATGAAATTGTAGGGCCTGAACCAGCTTTCGCACAACAAGCTTTCGCGGGCATGCTTTTATGTTACCGAGATGTTTATTCGAGAGTGTCCACAGGTTGAAAAAAATTTTAATGTGATGGAGAGAGATCGAAGAAACAGAATGTTTTAATCAAAAAAGAAGAAAATCTTTGAAAATTAAAAAGTTTAAAATATTAAAACCACCCAACTCAAATCCTACAATTGAAAAATATAAAACTTCAAAAAGTTTCATATGAAACACTTGTCACCACTTTATACATTTATCTTAACTATGTGATTATTCGTAATTCATTGCTACTTTGATGTCCTTTCTTTTAATAAAATGTCGTCAGATGACGTTCTGGGAACTGAAAATAAACAACCATGACACCTTTCAGATGATGAGATTCCAGCTGTTTCGTTTTTTTGAATGGGTTCGAAGATTTTAAACTGAAAACAAAAGCGCCAAAGAATACCTTGTCTTTGAGTCTTATCATGCGATGGAGCGGGACGAAAAGTTATTTACGTTTTTTCCAATTTATATTCAATCAATAAAGATAATATTCTTTATCTGCGCACTTAAAATGAAGAACTAGCAATAAAAAAAAAAATATGTAAAAGAATGCCAATAAAAGATAATCATTTTGATGTTTATTTTTTCAAGTATGACAATAAGGTCTTCAGCACTTGTTCTCGATATGTGTCAACAATGAACATTTATTGCGTTGTTTTTACGTTTATTATCTTTAAGAACAATGATGTTTATAGGGTTCAATATGAAAAAAAT